TGGAACTCTGCATTCAAATGGGAATATCTTTCCTTTTCTCCTTTGCTTTTCGATTCTCTTCTTTTCACAGCTATTTGTAAGGCCTCCTCAGACAGCCATTTTGCTTTTTTGCACTTCTTTTTCTTGGGGATGGTCTTCATCCCTGTCTCCTGTACAATGTCACGAACTTCTGTCCATAGTTCATCGGGCACTCTATCAGATCTAATCCCTTGAATCTATTTCTCACTTCCACTATATAATCATAAGGGATTTGATTTAGGTCATACCTGAATGGTCTAGTGGTTTCCCTACTTTTTTTAATTTAAGAAAGAAAATTAAGTCTGAATTTGACAATAAGGAGTTCACAATCTGAGCCACAGTCAACTCCCGTTCTTGTTTTTCCTGACTGTACAGAGCTTCTCCATCTTTAGCCGCAAAGAATATAATCAATGTGATTTCGGTATTGACCATCTGGTGATAGCCATGTGTAGAGTCTTCTCTCGTGTTGTTGAAAGAGGGTGTTTGCTATGACCAGTGCATTCTTTGGGCAAAACTCTATTAGCCTTTGCCCTGCTTCATTCTGTACTCCAAGCCCAAATTTGCCTGTTACCCCAGGTATTTCTTGACTTCCTACTTTTGCATTCCAGTCCCCTATAATGAAAAGGACATCTTTTTTGGGTGTTCATTCTAGAAGGTCTTGTAGGTCTTCATAGAACCATTCAACTTCAGCTTCTTCAGCATTACTGGTCAGGGCATAGACTTGGATTACTGTGATACTGAATGGTTTGCCTTGGAAATGAACATACTCCAACCAATTCCCAGAAAAGGGCATGTGATTAAGAACATGGGCTTTTGGGTCATGTTCGGGACCCCAGCTCTGCTTCTCACTAGCTCTATGACTTTGGGCAAGTTACTTAAGTGCTATGAATCTCAGGGTCCCCATCTATAGAAAGAGAACTGGTAACACCTACCTTTCAGGGTTGTGGTAAGAATTAAATGACCTCATATATGGAAAGCACTCAGGACTGGGCCTAACACAGCAGGTGTTCAACATGTATCACTGTCCTGCCTCAGGCTCTGATTCAAAGTGTGTCACTTGACTTCTTTGTGCCTCAATGTGTCCAACCTGCAAACCTGGCAAGATGTAACAATGCATGTGAGTGCTGTGAGGGTAAAAACTATTATTGTTGTTGTTTAGTCGCTAAGTCGGGTCCAACTTTTTGCAACCCCATGAACTGTAGCCCACCAGGCTCCTCTGTCCAAGGGATTTCCCAAGCAAGAATACTGGACTGGGTAGTCATTCCCTTCTCCAGGGAGCTTCCCAACGCAGGGATCAAATGTGGGTCTCCTGCATTGCAGGCAGATTCTTTACTGACTGAGTCACCTGGAAAGCTCAAAAACAATTATGTGGAAACTTAAAAAAAACAGAACACAGGGACTTCCCTGGTGGTTTAGGGCTTAAGAATCAGCCTTCCAGCTGTGGTACATATACACCATGGAATACTACTCAGCCATTAAAAAGAATTCATTTGAATCAGTTCTAATGAGATGGATGAAACTGGAGCCCATTTTAATAAAAATTTAAAAAAAATAAAAAAAAAACCATAAAAAAAATAAATAAATAAATAAATAAATAAATACATCAATGAAAATGGAAACAACTATCACCATCACCTTTTTTGCACAGGAGCAGCTAACACCAGGGATATAAAAGACTTGTCCAAGATTTCACAGCCATTAAGTGGCAAAGCCAAAAAAAAAAAAAAAAAGAATCAGCCTTCCACTGTAGGGGACATGGGTTCAATCCCTGGTCAGGGAACTAAGATCCCACATGCCTCTGAGCAACTAAGCTGGCACAGAACAACTATAGAGCCGCATGCTCCAACTACTAAAACCGGTGCGCTCTGGAGCCTGCACACCACAAATACTTGAGCCCGTGTGCCACAACTAGAGAATCGGTGCATTGCAACGAAAGATCCCACATGCCACAACTAAGACCTGATATAGCCTAATTAATTAATTAAAACACACACACACACAAACCTTCCTAATCTCAGTGCTTGCTGGAGTGTGATGAAACAAGGCTCACTCTGCACCACCTGTTAATATTATTAAATGTGTGACCTGTGAAAGACCTTTTTCCAAGGTGAGACACGTGTGTACTTAATATAAGGAAAAGCAAAAGCCAGAGAGAGGAATTGAGTGAAGGTGCAGGAGACAAAGAATAAAGAGTGGTTTGGAGGGGGCACTGAGGAGGCCCCACTACAGAGAGAGGGAGCAGTGCTCATCCAGGAAAGGGGCACTGTCCCTCCAGCTGGCAAGGAAGGAAGGAAGTCACATGCCTTAGTGGGGTTGGCAGGGGAGCTGAGGTATTTGAAGAAAGCTATCTCTACCCCATAACATCTAGACTTTTGTGTGGCCCCTTTCCCTCCTGACTGCCACAATGACTGTGCTCCACTTGCCTCGTACCCCTTGTCTTTCTAGATTTCCTTCTCCAAATGATCAGATATAGTCTACAGTAGACCTCTACTATTTCAAGGTGCCAACCAGACATCTCTCCTGGTAAAGAACCTCTTATCATACTCAGTAATTTCTGTAGTGAAATACATGTTCAGAGGCAGTATAGTAATACCAAAGTGAGTTATATCTGTTTCTTGATGACAGAGGGGGCATTTGTTCACAGAAAAGGCTATTTTGTTTTTATAGTGTTTCCTTTTTTAAGTAAATGTTTGGGTTCAAAAAAAAAAAAAAAAAAAGACTGTGACAATCTCTCTACTTCTGCCTCAGGGTCCAAAGTCGCCAGACATGAAGATAAACTAAGTCTCCAGGACTGAAGAGCGAACCAGCCTGAAATGCTCAGAGAGGTTCAAAGCAGAGACTGTGTGGTAGGTCTGATCCTCACACAGCCATGGATCTCCTCGGAGCAAATGTTCACTCGTGGAAAAAGATCCTGCTTACATTCTCCATTCACCTTTCTTTCAGTTGACCTGGTCCCAGACACACTTCCTGGCTAAACCAGATGGACAGAAGGGTTTACTGCGCATCCGTGACTGCAGCCCTCGTGCCGTCAGGCCCTTCCTTCCCCCACCAGACCCCCATTCAACAGCCCCACCATCCCTTTCCTCTTTGGGCAAGTTCTGCCCACCGAGTCTGTAAGAAGCCTAACAAGAAGAGACACTAGAAAAGGCTACTACTGAACTTTGGCCGGCTGCAGGGTCTGGGGAGCCGGGAACCCGGAGGTCAGAGGACAGACAGATGGACGCAGGGCAGGACGCGCCCAAGTGCAGCCAGCGTGGGGTCGTCCCCTCCCACCCCGCCTACCTTCCCTCCACCCCGCCCGGCGGGCAGTTTGGCGCAGTAAACAGTTTTCTGTACTGTAGGAAATATCCAAGTCGGGTTTTCGGACACTTTACGCACCCCTCTTACCTTCTGTAACCAATACAACCCGGAGGCGGTCAACGAAAAGACTAAGCTAAGGGCCCGGATCGCAGCCGCTGGGGAGAGTCACTTCCTGGTGCGCACGGCGCCGCGAGTTCCCGAGAGCAGGCGCGGCAGGACGCGGAGTTTCTGCCCAGAACTAGCGGCCCGGCCCCGGGCAACCGGTCTCAGGATCCAGTCCCACGAGTTTGCCTGGGGCACTTCCTCTGGAGACACTCCGCCGAAGCACTACTGGCCCTACAGCCCGGCGCCTCCGCGCCCAAGTTCCCCCCACCCCGCCCCTCTGCGTGACCCTGCCCACTGCCTGCTCTCCTCACCCTCCCATTGGTGGACCTGAATAAACTTCCAAAACCGCTTAGGAATCCCCCTGTGGTGTAAACAGCCCTAAGCCTGTCCCGGGTGCTTGCCGTTTAACTCTTTTTTTTTTTTTTTTCCATTTATTTTTATTAGTTGGAGGCTAATTACTTTACATCATTACAGTAGTTTTTGTCATACATTGAAATGAATTAGCCATGGATTTACATGTATTCCCCATCCCGGTCCCCCCTCCCACCTCCCTCTCCACCCGATCCCTCTGGGTCTTCCCAGTCCACCAGGCCCGTTTAACTCTTTCAACTGAAAGAATAGTTTTCTAGTGGTAGTCACAGGCATCAGATCCTTAATGGAATGGAAGATTGGGAGATGTAGAGTTTCCTCAAATCACAATGTTGATGGATGCACACATGTGTGCTGCAAAAAAGTTACTTTAACAGAATAAAATTTACAACAAAGCGAATCTCATTTTATGACACTTGATTTGTATGCTTAATTGGGCTTAAATGAAAGCACTTTATAGTCAGCAATTATTTATTCAAAGCAAAATATGCCTACTATATGTGAGGCAATGTATTACCCTAGTGAGTACAGCACTTAAAATTAAACATGGACCAGCAACTCACTTAACAGCCATGCGACCCCCATGGACTGTAGCCCACCAGGCTCCTCTGTCCGTGGAATTCTCCAGGCAAGAATACTGGACTGGTTAGCCCATTCCCTTCTCCAGGGAATGTTCCTGACCCAGGGATGGAACCCAAGTGTCCTGCATTGCAGGCGGATTCTTTACAGGCTGAGCCACCAGGGAAGGACACTGTCCACCAGATCAAGGTTCAAAGCACATATCTGCCACTTATAAGCTGTGTGAATTTGAGCCAATTACATAATTGCTGAGTGCCTCAGTTTTTTCATCTGAAAAAAATGTCCATGATAATTGCACCTATCTCACTGGGTTGTGAGAAAGATTAACAAAGGTAATACATGCAAGATGCTAAGAACAGAGTAAGCACACACTCAATAAATGTTAGCTATTATCATTCAAAAATAATTGTATATACTGTGTGTATATACACACACATGCACACATGTGAATATATACCTTTTTTAAAAAGAGATCTTCATATGATGTACAAAATAAATAAGCTACAAGGATGTATTGGACAGCACAGGGAATTTTATATTTTTTAATATATAAAAAATTTGAGTCTTTATGTTGTACACCTGAAACTAAGAGTATTGTAAATCAACTATACCCCAATGAAAAAAAATTTAACCCACTAAAAAAGAAAAGAAAAAAAGAGAGACTTTTGCTTTCCATTTCTAAAGATTTGAGCAGGCACTCACTTTGACTCAAATTGTGGCCTTCCTAACTGCTCTAATGGCTCTTGAGCAAAATGGGAGCTCAAAGTGTTACTTCAGGTTTCTAATTCTATGCTGAGCTAGTAAGTGAGACCAGGCCAGAGACTGCACCTTCAGGTCTCTTCTCCCTCTCCTTTTAATTCTCTCTTATTCAGAAAGTCAGCCCTACTCTTTTCCTCACCTCTTCTTCCCATTTCTTCTCCTTCTGATGCACTCTGATCCTTTATCATTCCTCATCTTGGCATCCTTTGTTGTGTCTATCCCAGAGCCAGGTGCCCAATAGGAGCTCAATAAATATTTGATGAATTGAATTGAATCCCACCTCCTCTACTGAAAGGAAAAGTGCATCTTTGGACACCTCCACCCCCACCTCCTCTGAGCATCCAAGTAAACTCATTTAAAGCAGGTCTGCTATTTGAGAACGGAAAACCCTGAGGTGTGCAGAGAGAAAAGAGATTAAGGAAGCTATAATGTAATTATTTATCCATTAACTCTTTTATATATGTTTAATCTGATAAACCATGGTCTACTCTACAGGAGAAATCATTACATATGTAAGAGGGGAAAGAAATATCCCATATTATGGAAAAGGTTAGACTCTTCAACTGGCAAGTCAATAAATGAACATGTCATAGATGATAAGACATATTGTTAAATTAAATAAGAGCTGAAACCAAAATAACCTTTGCTTAACTTTGTTATCAGCAAACCAAATCACTACAAAATGAAGTCTCTAGAAAACTGTCAAATATTCTCATTTTGGACCAGGAAAGAATTTCTGAGGCTATGGAATTAGCTCTCAGAAATAACATGCATTAAAATCACTTGAAAAAAAAATAAAATCACTTGGCAGTGAGGTCTGGTTTGGTTCCATTAACCACGTTCTTTAGGTGTGCTTTCCTGGCCTCTTGGCCTGTGTTAGAGGCCACAAGGGATAGACACAGACCGCGCCCTTTGGAGTGTGTGACCTGATGGAAAGATAAGACGCACAAAGTTAGAATATACAACCATAGGTTTTGGTAATTCCAAGAAAGCAGCAGATCTTCTTGGTAGTCAAGGAAGGAAGAGAATAAGATGCATAGAACTTGAATCACTTGAGAGGAGGTGGGGGCTGCAGCATGAAGACAGGAATGAGCAATATGTGTCCATGTGTGTCCAAGGTCCAAGGCCCAGGAGGAGGCAGGCCGAGTTGGAAAAGATTGTGGTGCCTTTTTTCCCTGCATCTTGCTGGATCTTAGATCCATTGGACTGCCAGGGAATTCCTCCTACTGTATTTTTATACATTTTGGCAAATTAAATATTTTTATTAAATAGAATAAAAAAAGAAGGGCCTGAAGTTGGAGTGCTGGGATGCAGGGTTTGATCTAGTTCCCTTAACAACAGGCAACTGGTAAAGAGTTTTTCATGAGATGTTCCTGGAAGGGAATTCTAGGAGCTGTGTCATCAAGATGGGAGGTGCTGAGTATTTGTACCAAGGCAGGCTACACTGTATTCTGTAAGAGTGTTTTAACATGTGCACAGAAGCCCATGAGCAACTTATGCAGGGGATGATGTAACACACGTAGGTTTCTGAGCCCTACTCCACACCTACAGAATCAAAATCCCAGGGTGGGTAGGCTCAGGCATATTGGGCTTTTAATAAGCACTCCAGTGATACCCATGAAAATTTGAGCCCACTACCAGGCAACAACTCAAAACTGCAGATGAATTAACTGAAGGTAAAAAAAAAAATCAATCATAAAAGCCCTAAAATATAGATGATTATACCTCTAAAATTTGGACATAGGAAAACTTTAGCAGTGCGAGAAACCACCATGTAGGTAGATTTTAGGACACAAATCTGAAAAACTTATATATGACAAAAATTTAATTAACAAATTCAGTCATAAACAGAAAAATATATATGACTATGGCAAAAGAGCATTATTTTATTGCATAAAGAGCTACATAAACTGATAAGAAAAACCCAATGACCCCAACAGAGACCTTGGCAAAGGCACAGAGAGATAATTCACAGGGAAAGAAACATAAGTGGTCAAAAATTGCTTTGTTCTACCTCTCTAATAATGACAGAACATGCCAACTACATCATGTAGATAATATTATTTTATCTATAAAATTAATGAAAAAAAGAACCAATGTTACTGAAAGTAGTCCATGGACAGTGAGGCAGATGCTCTCACACATTGCTGGTGGAATTGTAAATTGATACAAATTTCCTGGAAAGCAATTAGAATCCAAAGCTTTTAAAATTTTCATACTATTTGCCCCAGAAATTCCACCTCTAGACATCTATTTTAAGCAAGTAGAGATGTGAACAAAGATACATGACCAGAGGGTCTCAAAGTTAAAAATAAAAAACCATCTTCAAGGTCCAACATTAGAAGAATAGGGAATGGTTACATAAAATATGGTCGTCCATAGACAATTACAGAGACACTAAAAATTATGCTTGTGGCATGGTGTTAGAAATCAGGATGCCCTTTAGGGTGCAGGGAGTGGCTGCCAGGGGGCATAAAGAGGCTTCTGAGGTGCAGATAGTATTTTATTTCTTCATCTGGGTGCTGGTTATAAAGATGTATTCACTTTGTGAAAATTCATTGTGATACTCTTGATATGTGTGCTTTTCTGTATGCATGTTATATGTCAATAAAAAATTTACTTAAAATTGTGTCTTTGAAAAGTCTATAATGACATGAAAGTGTGTGTAGAAGGCAATCCTAAGTGAAAAGAGCAGGATAAAGACTCGTGCACTCAGTATAATTTTAAATTTGTAAAGAAAAAATGCATTGGAAGACAACGGTTGCTTCTAAAGAGTGGACTTGGGGTGACCATTTACAAATTTTTTTTCCATTTTTCCTTTTCTGTACTTTCCAATGTTTTCTACAACGAACAGTCATTACACTGATAATTAGGGGAGAAAACACCTAAAATACCAGAGAAAAAGTGAATTGATGAATCTTAGTGAAACTCCCATAGTATGTGAAACTGATAACTAGATTTCATCAGTTCACAGGGAAGTGGTTTAGACTCTGAGGGACTAACTTACACTAAGCAGATTTATAGGAGACATAGTGCCAGTGAGGAATATAGTTTCTAGAGACTAAAACATTCTTATCTCCTATATAAGGTTATACCTACCAGCCATGAATGTATCTGAGAAACCAAACTAAAAACCATTTTTAGTTTGAATATATGGAGCTAAATGGTTTTGATGGAGCTCTTTGACTGGGTTATACGTAACACATTTATCAGATCAGTGTTTCTGTTACTTAATCAAAGATGGATAAACACTGACTCTCCAATGGTCTTTTTCCACCATCTCTAACTAGTTACCAGAATCTTCTGTCATTACATTATTAACTGCCTCCTGGCCTCATTACATGTCACAGTTGCCAAGGTAACAGCTCATCTTACATGAATTACATTCTAGGTTGGTAGCTCCCAAGTGAGATATTGGGAAGCATCTTAATCTCATTGGCAGTATATCTGCAAATTATATTCACAAGAAGTTGCTTCAAGGAAGAATTACAGATGGCTAGTTTCATCCACTGTGAGCTTTTTAAATGTTTTCAATTGAAGAGTATATCGCTTTCTGATATATGTGTCTAATTTTTTCTAAGCTCTACCTCTTAGGTTTGGAGATACACATTACCTTGGGGGCCCTTCAATTACCTGATAAACATCAAGCATTTTGGATGATAGTACTTAGGAGAATGGCACTTACAAAAATAGGGAAGTCAAAAAGGGAAGCTTTTGGGAGAAAGAGATGATAGTGGAACATCAAGTGAAGGTCCAGTGGGCATGCAGAAAAAAAAAGTTAACATAATAGGAAAGCTGTTATGTTGGAGGTGGGAGGAATTACCCTGGAAACTGTCACCAAACTACCTAGCTACTTTTATGTTCTGGTTTCTAGGGTAACACAGATATTCACTACCTCACATTTACATGGGTGGTGCTAAAGTTCATTTTCTCACTTAATAAGGTCTCAACCCTTTGCTTTTATATAGCATTGAAATTTGCAATTCAATGTCAATAGCATTCCAGCTTTGACAGCTCATCCCTTAGAGCTAGATGTAGAGAAATAACATGGGGACACCTATTCCATGTCCTGCTCTACATTGGAATGCTATCATGCCTGGGACTAAGCACCAAGGGCACAAATTCTACAACTACCTAGAGGCTAAAATTTCAATCTTTTCCATATTGTCATCCTCAGTAAGCCCTCAATTGCCGGGGTCCAGCCCCAGCAGGATCCAGGGGAACCCTCAGGATGAACGGCGTTGGCGAAAGAGAGACACGTAGGACCGGCCTTGATGGGGCCAAGTCTGCTAGGGAGAGAGAGAGAGAAAGAGAGACCAGACCAGGATATGCGGCAGAGTCTGGCAGTTGCTTTATTTTTCACCATCGCCTTTATACCCTAAGTTGGTACATTTCTAAGGGGCAGATAAGCATACAGACTTAGTTTAACATTATATCAGCTTGTCCTTCAGGAAACCAGGTGTGCTCTGTATATTTTTTGTTTATGAGAGTCTTCCCCATAGATTTTTTGTACATTATCTTCTGGCCTTGAGGTTAGCAGAAAACAGAAAATTGGCAGTTTCATGGTATAGCAAGTCGCAACATAATAGAAATACAATCCTGTTAACATAAAAGTCAGTCTTTTTGCAGAAATTCTCAGCTAAATTTATCTAAAAAGTTTAACACACAAAGACTCTGTGGCTCTGGTGAGGCAGCCCCTGTTTAGCACTCTTGGTTAAAGTTAACAATTATCTTATTGTTTTTACACTAGGGCTGAACTCTTATTTTACTATATCTCTAACTATATTAACAATAGTTTCCACTGCACAACCTCAGCACATTAACATCAATCAAATGTTGATCTAATAACCATTTTTAAAACAATATTTTTTGTATTTTCTAATAGGGCTTCCTCACCCCCCAAAGGGCTCTGTGCCTATTAGGGCCTTTTTAATGGTTAATCTCTATGCATAATATCTTTTGGCTTTCAGGCCTGTTGACAATTTAGGGCTTACACCTGGTGCAACTTTAAGCAACTTCAGTAGCTGACCCTGTCTTTTTTGTGGTTAATCTATTTTCTTTCTATTAGGTGTCATGTCTATGGGAACTAGATAGGATTACATTTTTATGGAACAGAAATGCAAAGGATTGCAAAAACAGCAGATATGGCACAAAACAGGCTCTTAGTCTAAAAGTTAATTACCTGCAA